GCAGACAGATTAGGAGCAACATACTGACTCAATGATTTTCTGAAAGCCCTCACAAAAATTATTGTACAAAGTGAGGAAATACTATACTTGAGCAGCTTTATAAAATGTGATTCCTACCCAGAGTGCTTAGCAGAGTGTTAACCCTATAAGGTGAGAACACAGTTTCTCCAGTACATTTTATTGGCTTTTTTCCTTCTACCTTGTGATAAGTCACACACTATTGTGTACACTACCATGGTTCTGCTCAATACTTGTGAAAAGAATACGGATTATTAAGTTTGTTTCAAGAAATCCATGGAGAAATCATGCCTTTTACATGTTCCCTGTGTTGATACATGACATTCAACTTTCTCCAAATCAGTATGAAAATGATCGTTTTTTTAGTCTCCACTTGGAATGAAAATGAAGCCTAGAACTGCACCTACTTTGGGAAATTCCTATGAGTTAAATGTCTACTTCAAAGGGAATGGAATTAATATGAGAAAATGAAAAAATGGAAACAAAGTCTTTGTAGATAGGGAGGAATGGAGGGATTGAAGGGAGGACAGGGGAAAGGGGAAAAAATAAGAACCAAGAGAGACTACGTAAAGGTGCAAATCTCCAATGAGGAATGCCGTTACACTGTACACCTGAAATGTACAGATGAAGTCCATTAAAATAAATGTCTCCTTTAATCTTCTGTGATCCTCTCCTCTCCTTCTCCCTGAAGAACACCAAGTCGGTGATGACCTCTCTCACCTCCCAGAGCAATTTCTTTCCATTTCTATGGGGTCAGGAACTCCCCTTCCCCGCCCCTCCCAACACTGCTGATTCCTGCGCCAGCTTAGTGGGCAGAGCAGTTCCTGCCTGATCCCGGAAGGACCTCCTAGCTGGACCCGTCTCAAAGTGAGGTCATTTCCTCCTCCTGCAGACACAGTAATTGCACCGTTTGACACCCCATTTTCACCTCACATTTTATTTGCTGTCTGCTTTATTATTACGAGCGCACGCTTGCAGGATACTGACATTTATCGTGCGAAGTTGGTGCGTGTCCTTCTCTTCTGACCCCTCCCCCTCCCCCTCCCCCCCCCAACTCTTGCTTACCCTCCCACTGGCAAAAGCTCTATGTTCATTTTTTCTTGAGTTCTTTTTCCATCCCTTTTCTCCCCTTTCTTCCCCTTCTTCCATCTCGTTTTCTCTCATCCATTTGAAAGATTTTCCTATTCCTGTTTATCTAGCTTCTATTCCTTATTTATATACATATTTTTGAGTTTCTGATATGAGAAAAATGCAATATTTAAGCTTGTGTATCTGACTTATTTACTTAATATCATGGTCTCAAAGAGCATCTATACACCTATGATGCCTCAAGTATATCTTCATGCCAGAGTAGTACTCCACTGTGTGTAAATACCACACTTCTTTATCCATTCCTCTGTTCACAGGCATTTAAGCTGCTTCCAAGATTTAGTGATTATGAATTGTCCTGGTATAAACTGAAATGAAGAGACACTTCTCAGAAGTACAAATGGCCAATAAATACATGAAGAAATGTTTGATAGCGCTGGCCATTAGAGAAATGCAAAGTAAAATGACACTGAGATTCCTTCTTAGCCCAGAAAGAATGGCTGTCATCGAGAAATCAAATAATAACAAATTCTGGGAAGGATGTGAGGAAAAAGGGAACTCTTACACTGTTGGTGGGAGTGTAAACTAGTACAGCACGGTGGGAATCAGTGTGGAGAGTCCTCACAAAACTAAAACTAGAAATCCCATTTGACCAAGCTGCTACCCTTCTAGTGTCTTCCCAAAAGAGTTGAAGTCACCTCATCTTTTATGCCTCCAGTGAGCTTTCTGACTCTCCACTCCCTCCTCAGCATCCAGGCTGGCGGCTTCTGCTCCCTCTGCCCACAGGTGATAACAACCACAATCATTCGGCAGGTGCTGAGCACTGACGATACGTCAGTCCTGGTGCTGAGCGCTGGCTGTGTGAGCCCACTCAACCCTCACTACACTCCCAGAGCAGGGATCCACGACTGTCTGCAGGTCGAGATATGCAAGGTTACACAGCCAATTTGCGGCGGGCTGAGAGTTTAAATCTACTCCGAATCCAGTGCTCTGAGCCTCCTTCTGCTCCCAGGTAAGCTTACACTGTAAGGTTTGATTTCATGGCTTTACCTTTAGTGATGCCTCCTGATCTCTCCTGTGCTTTCTTTTCCTCTGCCCTCAGCATTTCCCACCTTTTATTACAGTACACATTGTTATGTAAACACTGGCCTGTTTATTAATTCATTCGACAGATATATTTTGAACACATACTCTGTAAGGCACAGTGCTTACTGCTGCCAGTGGATGAAGGAAGCCTGAGCCTGGCCTCCTGGAGACAAGTTAGAGAGACAGACTGTAGGCAACTGAGCCCTACAAATACACCCTAAGATCCCTGGTGATAACTGCTGCGCACAAAAACGCCGCCTGGGGGTGCTGTGTCTGTTGGTGGGCATCCAATTTCCCAGCATTAGCTCCTTCCCTGTCCTGAAAGGCAGCTGGTGTCCCACTAGTACATCAGGCAAACCACGGAGGTTAGAAACTGCATTTCTAATGTGGGAAACTGAAGGCAACCTTGTGGAAACGGGACAGTGAAACTTGGGGGGTCACAGCATAAGCTGCAGGGGTGGAGAACACAGAACTAAAATGAGCGCAAAGTAGGCATGCCAGGCTCAGTTCATAGGCATGAGTCCCACAACATGCCACAGGTGAGGAAAAGCTCTGTGCACTCAAACATCTGCCAGCAAAGCTGCTGAGGGAGGCCCGGGAGGATGGACTGGCACCCGAGAGTCCTTCCCGCTGCTTACTGATGTCTCCCGCTTATCATTTTCCTTCCTGGTGAAGACACAGATTTTAACAAGTGATCTTTACAAAAAACTACTCAAGGGCCAGGGATTTAGCTCAGTGGTTCTGCCGCCTGCCTTGCAAGAAGAAGGCCCTGAGTTCGAGCCCCAGTACCAAAAACAAAAAAACAAAAAACTGCACAAATGAATCCTAAATACAACATCACAGATCTCACATTTCATACAGGAAGCACTCACCCCACTGTACAATGACTGTGACATTTTCAAACAATTTAAATATAATATATCAAGTGCTTCTGAGCTTCCAGCAAAAACTGTAACAAATGCTCAGAGTGGTATCTTAGATCAAGATGCTATAACTCGGTGATTCAAAAACAGTACTACTGAAATAAACATTACAAGGAATTGATCAAGATACAAAGCCCTTTTAAGGCTGTAAACAATAAAGAGTTTCTAAACTGCTCAGAAATGTTAGACATTAGCAGCAAGCTTTTTTTCCTGTTTATACCAGCTTATGACATTTGAGTACTTGAATTTACTGCTCTTAAAGCTGTGATGAGCTACACCATTTTGGAGGTGGGTTTTGTTATCAGAAGACTGAACTGTTTAAAAACTCCAGCGGAATGGAAAGTGTCCATCAAAATGAAAAAATGAAGACCTTAATGTCACTTCTTCCTGCCCTCCATAAGCAGGCAGCCAGGCAGGCCCTGTAAGGCAGGCCCTACCATTAAAGTGGAGCTTGCGGTTGAACAGTGAGAAATTCTATACAGTCGTTACATGGGAAACACTAAAACTCAGCGTCAGAAGCACCCTTACGAGGGCAATGACACGGAACAGGAATTCTGCACCTCTCATGCCGTAGATACTCTCTTCTACGCATAATGAGGAATGACAGGAATAACCATGCCATCATGGGAGCTGCACTTGGGAAAATTTGCCTCAGAGGTATTTTGTGTTTTGTTTTGGCTTTTGAGATAGGGTAGTTTTTTGAGGCAGGGTATCAGTTATATAGCCCAGGCTGGCCTTGAACTGTCCAGGTAGCCCTGGCCTCAAACTTGTGGTGGGCCTTCCGCCTCACTCAGCCTTCCAGAGTGCTGGGTTTACAGGCAGACGTGCACCACCCTGCCTGGCTGCATACGTCCCCTGCTTTAATTACTCCACATTCCAAAATACTATAGTCTCATTTTACGTGTATCTAATTCTAAACATAATTTAGAAAACAATCAATATCTTAAGTTACAGAGCACAAGTCCTTCTAAGACAAGTAACCTCCTGATGATATTAATAGCCTGCAACAGGACTAAAAGGAACTTAAAACAGCCCCAAAATACATGCATGGGGCTGGGCGCAAGTCATCTATTGCTGTCAGGTCAGCACTGTAACAGCACCGTACAGTTTTACTGTAGTTGTACAACTTTGCGACCTCAGAAATGGCAGCTTTTGTGGAAGATAACAAAAGGTGTTTTTTATTCCTGGCAGTTAAATCATAAAGAAAGGAGCCCGCACAAGAGCCATAAGTGAAAAAAGGAAAAAATTCACTACGCAAGTTAAGCACTTTCAAAGACCAATTAGTCCTCAAGAGGCTCTGGGCGACCGAGAAATCAGGAGCTCAGCCCTGCAGGCGGGAGGGAGGAAGCTCTGGCAATCGGCCCGCTGGGCGGAGCTCACGGGACTGCAGGGACCCGCGGGCGGCTGGGAGCCCCGGTGAGCGCGGATCCCTGCCACCTGCTGTGTGTGTGCTCTCCACTCGGCGGCCTCCAGTCAGGAGCTGAGGCTCAAACGTCTGCAGGACGGTTCTGGGGCGGCCCAGGGCACCTGTGTCCCCAAGCTTCTCAGGAGATTCTAGCCACGGTCAGGGCCCAGAGTCTGGGACTGGCCTGCAGGGGCCATGGTTTCTCAGCCCGTGCTGCAGCCGCCCCAGCTTCCCCCATCCCATGCCTGCAGAACTCATCCCACTCAGGTGCACACCCAGGACCTCACCCAGGGGACCCGCCCGCCCGATGTGCGACTCATCCCTCCTGCTGCCACCTGCCTGGAGACCCACTTCCCCCTGGTATCCCATTCCCGACACCCCAGCCCCGCACAAGTGCCCCCAAGGAGCTCTGTGAGGTGTGGTTCACTCTTCCAAGCACGCTGAGCCGTCAGTCATCCTAGGACCCACGTGCCCCTCACCTTCGGCCTGGTTGGGAGTGTCCAGAGGTCTGCGGCGGCCAAGGCTTCATCCCCCAGGTGGCGCTAGTGGGAGGTGGTGAGGCTTAGGAGGGGTGGTCTTGGGGCAGCAGGGACCCTGACGAAGCCCAGGGGACCCTGTCCCCGCCCCTCCACTGGGCCACTCCAGCAGCTGTGCTCTGCCCGGTGCTCCCACCGGGGCCCAGAACAACTGGACCAAGGGTTCGCGGCCGAACTCCCAACACCGTGCCCAGACAAAGCTCTCCCGTTTCCAAGCAGGTCTCCGGAACAGCGGGGGAACATGCCTTTGTTAGACTTTCTGGAGGCAGGGACTATGCCACATTTGCCTCCGTGTCCCCTAAACTTAGCACAACACAAGCATAGAAGGGTACTCTATGAGTGCTCAATAGTGAGCAAATAGCATTTTACACTGTTTTCACTTATCACAGCCCGGAGACTGTTAGTGGACCCACTGAAAAGGTCAAGTTCATACTTTAAAAAAAGCCTTAGAATTTGCAGTATTTGGCAACAGCAACAACTAAAGGTCATCCCTTCAATTAGGTTATCAGAATAACTTTCAGTGTAATTAAAGGAAAAACTTGAATTCGATCCTTAAGAACCTCTTCGCATCAGTCTCCCCAAGGCACACATTTTCAGAATCTAGGCAAGACCTGCTGCCTCGCCCAGTTAAGGGAAGGAAGCCTCTTAGCACTACCCCAAATCAGCCTGTTCCCCTAACAGACATCTGACCACAGCCCCGGGGCACGGCTTACTTTGTATTTGCTCTCTGATCTGGAAGGGGTAGGAATATGTCCTTTCTTCTTAACGGTTGTAAAGTGCTTGCACTGAGGACACGGCTTCGTGCTGGAATCAATGTGACCAAGCTCCAGGAAGTACTTATACTTGATGGAGTCCTCATATGTTAGGTTGTAGACAACAGTTGTTTCTTCCAGGAATTCGAAGCACTCGGTGATGGGGCATTTGATTTCTACTTGGCCAAGCTGTACCTAGGAGAAAGAGCAGATGGGAGAAAAGAAGAAGGTCTCCAGTTAGTTATTAAGCTTCTTTTCTTTTCCTTTTTGCGCATATGGTATTGTTCATTTCATGACTGCATAAGGATTATCCCTTTTTGCTTTATGATAATGCAGTGAATAGAAATCACTTAGACACCTGCGTCAGGCAGCACCAGAATAATCAGTGTGTTTCCAAAATGATTTAGAGGTGGTTGCAGTCTTGTCTGATCATTTTATTTGAGAATTTAAGGGAACCTGAGCAGCAGGGTCTGTAAAGAAGCAAACTGCCACCCCCTCGTCCGTAACTTCAGGTGAAACAGCATTCGGACTGAGAGGTGCTTCCGGCTTTTCTGCCTTGCTACGGGTATTTCAGCACCAATCTTTGCGCACAGTTGACTCCTTTAAAAGGATAAAATAGGGATTTGTGTAAAGTACTCACATGTAATATCTAGCAGTTAAAAAACCACTAGCAAAATGTGTTTTCCCTGAGCTATTTCATGCCAACCACAAAGGCATAGGTCCCGAGTCATCACATTTTTAGGAACTGTTAAGAAAATTAAACCAAACACAGAGTGTAAGACAAAACAAGGAAAGTCCTGAAGAGATCTGGCTGCTCCTGGGGTCATTTACAAAATTAATTTACTCAGAGGCCCACAAAACTAGCTTGGAGGAAAAAGAGAAAGCTAAACCCGAACGCGCCCTTCAGCATTTGGTGTGGGATAATACATGTGGCTGACCTTAAAGCGCACAGTGAAAGCTTCAAGCACCACACGTGGACACAGCTCATTTTTAAACGCTCTTGAAAATGCATGATGTTGAGGAAAGGAAGCGCTGGACGGCTTCCCAGAAGTGATGAGCCATATAGCACCATCGTTGGCTTTGGCCAACTGGACATAGAAAAAGGACACATGGAAACATCCACGCGACCACGACTTTCAACTCGGATTTTCACTGAGTGACTGACATTCTCGGAAATCAAAACATATGCACTTGACCGAGAAAAAGCACACTATGAAGACTGAAGTGGCAACGGGAGAAAGCCACATGGTCTGGAGGAGAAAACACCACCACAAAATGCAATTGGAAATTAATCAACTAAACTCCCAGTAACTCTCAACTTTGATGTTTATTTGGCACCAACTTGAAGAAAGTAGTTCAGAGTTATAGCTGATGGACGCACAGAACGGCACATGTACAGCCACTGAAGGACACAAGCTGCAGGGACAGCGAAGGGAAAGACAGTGGCTGGCAGTGCTCTGTGAAAAGCTGGAACTGCTATATAAGTTTACGCTTCTTTTGTATAAAATGTGATACAGAGAGGTTTATTTTTAAAATATGTGCCCACTGTCTCTACTTTCAGTGGGTCTGCTCAGTTAGCCTCAGATTTTATCACTGCACGGTTACAGCGTTATGATAATGATATTAACTTCCATTATCTTTCAAATGAATTATTTTAAGTTATGCCTCAGGACCGAAGTCCCCAGATTTTCATACAGATAAAATCTCCAGGGTATCATAAGAACCTGGCTTGATGACGTCTGTCACGTAAACATTTAACCAGTGACGGCCTGTTTCTGGCTTCACGTCCTGCGGACCTGGACCACGCCCTCCCGAGCCAGGCGCGCAGGAGTCAGGGAAGACCAGGAGGCACCGTCACCTCAGACCGGAGGTCACACGAGGCTCCCAGGAAGACCTCCCGGGCCACAGGACCGAGCCACATAGAAGCAGAGAGAAGAAACGGCACGGCAGGACAGGGCTGTCCGTGCTCTGCCCACATCTGAGCGGAATCGACCTGCAGGCAGCACACAGAGATCACAGCGTGGAGATCCCGGCCGTGCGCGAGCTCCGTGGCGAGGGGAAGGTGGACTGGAGGCGTGAGCACCCACAGAAGAGGCTTGGGCCAGGGGCTCAGAGCGGAGCACAAAGCCGCTGCAGGAGTCTGGACAGAGATGGAAAAATACTTAGTCCTAAGTATGTAAGGGAGTTTCTTTTCATTCCACAAAAGGGCGCACTTGGCCACTGGAGGGAGCTTATATTAGACAGCAGCTCAGGAAGGTGGACAAGACCCCCGGTTCTCTAGTCCCAGCTCCGTGCCTGAACCCAGCCTCCCTGAACTCGTAAGTTTGGATGCAGCAATGGGGCAGTCATCTGGGAAGGTCAGGTCTCAGGGACATAGGTACATTTAGGGACTTAGGGCAGGCTGTCCGGTTACTCTCTCGCTGGGGTATTCATTACCTGGCCACGTTTGGATGCCACCCAGCAGTGAACCAAGCACGGCATCTTCAAACCTACTTGACATCCACCGGACACCCTACTTCCTCAGCTTTTGTACTTTGTACCCACTACCCACACCTTCTCTGCTTCCTCAAAGCTACACTGAGCCAAAGCCCTCAGACAGAATTTCACTGGACACACAGAAGCGACGAGGTGTGGATCTCCTCTCCTGCACTCCCGCCTCCACCGACCCCTCTAGATCTGCTCCTTCGCTCCTGGCACAGTGTAGGGCTGAATCCACCCACAGGACAGCAGCGCTCAGCTCTGGAGACGGATGTCGCGAGGTCACGTTTCTCGGCCTACTCAAGACCTACGCCCTCAGAATGTGAATAATGCCAGCAATAAACAGCGTCTGGCAATTGCTCACACAATCCCTTCACTTACTCATACTATGAACGTCCGCTCTTCCTGCGCAGTGTGATTCCTGACCCGCCCTCTCTCATCCCCTCTACCTGAGGATCTTTTTCAGAATCATTTTCTGAATGTATCACTACCAAAGAAGTAATTTTGAATGAGCCAAGTACATTCATTTACTTATTCAAGAAGATGTGTGTGCTATTAATTCAAGGATGCACTTTTAACATCTTACTGTCTCAACAGCAAAGATCATCTCACAATCAACAGTTGTAATTAAGCCATGGTTCAATTTGCAGTGCTGTAGCTTTGGTATTCTACATCACGTACTGCCGCCGCATCCTATAGTTGCTCACGTGGCAGGCCACATCAGGGAGTCGTGGTTTTCTGGGTTAGGCACAAGGATGGACATCTGGGAAGAGGAGAGAGAGGCCAGGATGCCACGGGAGGAAAGGGATGGCACACAAAACCAGCATATGACTGCACTTGGGGAAAGCGTCTCTGGGCAAGGGACAACTGGAATTAAGAATTGAAGAGGCAGTCATGCCTATGTCCGGAGCACAGAGCCAAGGGACTGAATACACACTGATCGAGGGAGAGGGGCTCTGAAACGAAGTCGGAGTGTCAGGCAGGAGACAGATCACACAGGCCTTGCTGGCCACGATAAGAAGGCCAGATTGTTGTTACTAAGTTCCGTATCCATCACCGGTGGGGCTGAGGAGCAGGTGCGGGTGCCCTGATTTTTAAAAACCTTCAAGTGCAGCACGGTTGTGCGCATCTGTCATCCCAGCACTCTGGGAGGCTGAGTGGGAGGATGGAAAGTTAGATCGGATGTTTCAGAATTGACACGGACTGTACATGCTTATGGGATATGACGTGACATGTTTAAAGTACCCTAGGAATATATTGTGGGATGGCTACCTCAAGCTAATTAACACACATTACCTCATATAATCTCTCTTTTGTAATGGGAGCACTAAAAATTTATTCTCTTAGTGATGTTCAAGCTCACAACACATTGCTATTATTAACCATGGTGACCCAAGATTTCCAATAGATCTCGGAAATGGATTTGGTCTAACTCTAATTTTCTATCCTTTGACCAACATCTCCTAATCCTCCCACTGCACCCCTAACGGGCCGCTGGTAATTTCCATTCTACTTTGTGTTTCTATGAGTTCAATTTTTTTAAGATTCCAATATAAATGAGATCATGCAGTGTTTTTCTCTCTCTCAACACCTACTTCGTTGATTCTACATCTTAGCTATTGTGGGCATCTCTGCAGTGAACGTGGGAGTACAAATCGCTCCTGAATATCGACTTCATTTACTCTGTAGATATTCACTTCTTTTGCATGGAACTCCCACAGTAGTGGGATTAGTGGACCACACGGTAGCTCCACTTCCAGTTTTGGCGGTGGGTCATTTGGGATCCACCATCACTGCACAGGAGTTCTCTTTTCTCTGATTCAAGGGAGAATCAGTTCCTAGAACATCCTCCCCTCCCTGCTATTTTGAGGTTGGAAGAAATGAGCTTCAATTAAAAAGAAGCATTCCTTTCTGTCCATTTCCTCATAACCTTTAGCTTTCACTTTTCAACAAGAGCATTTTAAAGGGTGGGAGGTAACTCGCTGCTGTGGTTTTCACTGTCCTTTTCCTGATGATTAGAGGCCAGGCATCTTTTCAGGCACCCGCTGGTCTTCTGTCTGTCTTCTCCTGAGCAGGTGACAGACTGTAAGGGCGGAGGTGAAGGGAGCACTTAAGGAGGACTTCGCTTTTGTCCCGAACAGCCTGGCACTGGTGACTGCTACTTACTGGGAGACTTCTGACACGACACAGTTCTCATGGAGATAATACTTGCTGGAAATTATTCACAGCCAATTTTTACAGTGATTGGTGCAAAGATCATTGATACATAACAAAAACACACTGAGCTCCTACAATACGACAGGCAAGATAGAAAGCCCGTGACATCAAGGAAATTAAGCCATGAGAGGCACCTTGGTGGAACCTGAAAATGCAGAAACTAACTTCGTCTTTATGGCTTCTCACAACTTGGGATCTGATGGTACTACATCGCTTCATAGTTACCCAAGGCTTTCAAAAAATCTTTTATTAGGGATATTTATAAACTTACGCAGAAGTTGACAGAGTGGTTCTATGGATCCTTAAGTATTCACTGTCCTATTTAAACTACTGTCAACTTCCGGCCAACTTTGTTTCCTCTGGGCCCTGACCACAGGGTGGTCCTCTCACACCATCCTGAAACAAATACCAGCTATCACATAATTTCATTCATAAATACTTCGCTACAGGCCAAAGAACAAATCTTTTTAAAACCATAACCATGATATCATATAGTTCCC